CTCCAGCTCATTTTTACAGATGAGCAAACTGAGGCAAACAGGGTGATGTGACTTGCCCAGAGACATATAGCTAGTGTCTAAGGCCAGATTTGAACTCGTCTTGCCAACTCCAGGCAAGCCAGTCTATCCATTGAGCAACCTCGCTGCCCCAGATATCTCATAGGCTTCTCAGATTCATCATGCCTCAAATAGAACTCATTATCTTTGCCCCAAAATTAACTTGTCTTCTGACCTTCCTTAATATTGTCAAGGGTTCCACCATCCTTCTAGTCTTCCAGGTTCTTAATCTCAGCATTATCCTCAACCCCACATATTAATCAGCTGACAGATCTTGCCATTTCCACCTCCACAACATGTTTTGCATGTGACCCCTGCTCTCCACTGACACAACCACTGCCCTTATTCAAGCCGTTATCACCTCTTGCTTGGTCTATTGCAGTAGCCTCTTAACTGGTCTCGCAGCCTCTAGTCTCTCCCCTCTGTAATCCATCTTCCACCCAGCGGCCAAAACGATTTTCCTAAATCAAACATCTAACCATATCACTCCCCTACTCAATAAACTTCAGTGGGTTCTTTTTCCCTCCAGGATCAAATATAAAGTGCTCTGCTGGGCATTTAAAACTCTTGACGACCTGGTTCCAATTTCTCTTTCCAGACTCATTACATATAACTCCTTTTTACAAATTCTATGGTCCAGTTAAACTGGCCTTCTTACCATTCCTCCTCCCTGACAAATTGTCTCTGTTTCCCTGCCTTTTCATTGCCTATGTCCCATGACTAGAATATAATCGTGTCTTAGAATCTGTAGTTCTCTGTGCCGTCTAGCTAGCCATCGAACCTCTCATATATCCATCCCTTCTTTGATGCTTTCACAGTTACAAAACTAGCTAGGCCTTAATATCCTTTCTTCTGGGCTGTTGCAATAGCCTCCTAGTTGGACATCATGTTTCTGGGCTCCACCGAGCCACCAAAATAATCTTCCTCATGCACAGGTCTGACCACATTACTCCACCACTGAAATACAGACTCCTTTGCTTGGCCTTTAAAGCCCTTCACATGCTGTCTCCAACCTAACTTTCCAGGCATACTTCACATTACTTACTTTCACATGCCTGGGGCCAAAATGGCCCTGTCTCCTACCTCCATGACTGCACAGGCAGTCCCCCATGTCTGCAATGTCTGCTCCTCCTCACCTCTGCAGCTTAGAATATCTAGCTTCCTTCAAGGCTCAGTTCTGGTTGCATATCACTATGGCAAACCTTTCCAGATCGTTCCCACCAGTTAATTTTCTCTCCCTCTTCAAATTACCTTGCATTGACTTCTATGGCTCCATTTGTATCACCTAAGTAGACTAGGCAGCCTGGCACCTAGACCAGTACCTCACACATAGTAGGCATGAATTAAATGTCTGTGGTTGAAACAGGGGAGGATCTGAGGAAAAACTGGGCAATGACCCAAGAATTTGTAAGTGATTGATTGAACCTGTGTGGAGATGGTAGGTGAGTGAGTAGTTCAACTGTGTGAAGGAATAAAAGAGGGTAAGTCATTAAGAAAAGATAATTGAAGGAAAGTGAGTGGTTGATAAAGAAAGGGTATTTGGAAAGGAAAACCAGGGGAGAATGATGAAGAGACTAGAAGGGATAAGGAAAAAGAAGAAAGGAGTAGGGAGAATTACAGAAAGGAGAGAGAAGAGCCCCACCATCTCCACCCCCACCAAAACAAAAACAGATAAACCCTAGTGGTTGGAAAGGAAGGAAAGAAGGAAGGAAGAAAGGGAGTGGGGAAGGAAGAAAGAGAAAAGGGAGAAAATGCGTGTCAAGAAAAGGAAAAAGCATGAGAAAAGGACAGATAGTTTCATTCATTCTATAGAAAACTTGATACCACAAAAGCGTGATAAATCCCATGTGCACAAATCCCAAATCTATATAACCTGAGAAATAGAAAAAATAATTTAGATATCTTGGTCAAGTTGCTCAATCCCACCAAAGTTTCAGTTTCCTCCTCCTCACCCCGACACCTCACAGAGTTGTTGTAAACATCCAACTAGAAAATGATCATGAAAGTACATTAATAACAATAGTTAACATTTAAAGAGCACTTTACATATATTCCCTTATTTGATCCTCACAACTTCACGATAGTTGCTATTATTATCTGTGTTTTACAGATGAGAGAAACTGAGGCTGAGAGAAGTTTAAATGACTGCCTAAAGTTAATAACCAGTATGTGTCTGGGACAGGATTCAAATTCACATCTTCCTGACTCCAAAGCCCAGTACACTAGACAGCACTACAACATATTGCCTCCCATTGTAGCCATCAAGTCATATAAAAATGTAAACTTGTTTTTGTTATTCTTAATATTGATAAAAGCATCTTAATTTGTCACAAAATGCCTCTTCTAAACCTTGAGGATCCACTCATGATCATTCACTCTGGTCTCTAAGAGGTCATCTGCTCTATCTCCCTGGCTTGGGGCAGGGCTCATGTCCTAGTTAACACCTCCTTGTCTGACATCTTGCATTACCATTTCAGGACAAACGTCAATAAGCATGCATTGGTCTGAAATCCCCATTGAAAGCACAAGGCATCAGTGGGCCACTTGACCCAGTTTTGGGTCGTGGGCTTCTCATAAAGTTAAGCATTTGCTCTTATTGCAAAGAGCTCAGGAGGTCTAAAACAAAGTTGGCTTTTCCCAGTTTTGGTATAGATTCCTAGACTCCCCAGGAATTCACTCAAACAGCTGTTGACCCCCCACCCCGAGCACGGTGATCTGGCAGTGTGTACCCAAAAGACACATGTAGGGAATTAATTCTGTGTCCAGGAGGTGAGGTATGCACAAGGGTCATAGGGACGCCTAGAAGTAGACAAGTGTGGGAAGGGCCTGGCAGCTGTGACTCCCCTCTGACCTCCAGCCATAAAAAACGCAAGCACCCAGATTTAGAATCCCTACATAGAGACTAATCAGCTAAGCATTTTCATTGGCTTGCAGGACCACAGGATTTAAAGTTGGACAGGACCTAGAAATTCTTCAGTCCAGGGGTTCTTAACCTTTTCTGTGTAATGAACCTCTTTGGCAGTCCAGCGAAGTCTACGGGCCCCTTCTCAGGATATTTTAAGTGCATAAAACAAAATACACTGGATTACAAAGGACACTGATTATGTTGAAATAAAGCTATCAAAATATTTTTTAAAACAGGTTCACAGATCCCTGATCTAATTCATCCTCATTAAACAGATGAGGAAATAGACCCAGTGAGGTGATTTGGCCAGGGTCAGAAAGATAGTGAGTAGCAGGTTCGTGACTCAAACCCAGGTTCTCTGACTTTAATTCCTGTTCTCTTACCATTGTAATATTATCCCTTCTCAACACCTGCTCCCAGTCCCAAAGCATAGGCATTCTACTTCTGCCTTGTGGTGTCTGGTCACTTTCAGCACATTTCACATGAAAAAAAAAAAAAGTTCCTGCTTTCTACTAGTGACCTACCTCTTCATACTTTTAAAAATTAAAATGTAGTTTTTTGATTAACAGAAATCTATCTGCTCTCCCTCTGACACCCCCACCCCCACCCCATTGAGAAAAAAGAGAAGGAAAAGCAAATTCCTTACAACAAATATCAAATCCTCCTTACAATAAAATATAGGCCTAGTCGATGAATTTTTAATAACAATGTCCTTCTGGAGAAGTCATTTCCAGTACCTATTTGGGCAGGATAATCAAGCAGGGTGCCGGTGGCTCAGACTCCTGGTGCAATGACAGATGATGCAAGCTGGAATAGTCACGGTTCAGTGCCCAAGGAAGAAGCAAGAGGTTTCTAGTGGAGACCCTCTCCCTCCCCCACCTCCTGCAAGTAAATAGTTCCACTCCTGCCCCAGCTGTCCAGACTCATCCAACTGTTCTGGAAGTACATTTGCAACATCTAATAATACTGTCAAGTTGTGATTCTGTAGCAAGTCACTGATGTGAAAGGTTACACAGCCATAGAGCTGTAGTTATTTTTCCCATAACTCAAGGTGCTTATAAATTTAATTGCTAACTTAAATCCATGTGACTTTTTAACAATATCAGAAAAATAAAGGCCAAAGTACTGCAAATCAGGAATCCCTGAGAACTAGTCCTAACTCTGCCCCAACCTGACTTTTTCCACCGAGGCAGGACCATCCAGCACTTGAAGTTGAACTAGGTTTTAATAACAACTAACTCATCAAGGATTCTTTACTATAATCACAGAAAGCATTGTTTGAGCTCTGTGTGTGTGTGTGTGTGTGTGTGTGTGTGTGGTGTGTGTGTCTGTGTCTGTGTCTGTGTCTGTGTCTGCGTCTGTGTGTCTGTGTGTGTGATTTCACTGATGAGGAGAATTCCCGATGTGGAAACTTCCTCCACTGATGCATATAAGCAACACATTGGTATCCTGGAGAATTGGCGGGGGTACTGAAAAGTTAAGTCATTTGCACAGAGTCACACAGCCAGTTCACGACAGTGGCAGGGCTTGAATGCAAATCTTCCTGACTTCAAAGTCCACACTCTATCTGTAATTGCCACACTGTCTCTCTCTATGGGCAACATTTATATAAACAAACCTTCATCCTCAATGAATAGAAATCCTTAGAGTCCTCTATGCCCTGTCTACTACACCTGCAGGCACATACAGTCAGCAACAGCATCACAGTTAACTCCTGCTCCTTCACATTTAGAAGCTGATCGCTTAAGTGAGAGTCTGAGCAAAAGCTTTCATGTAACTACATCTAACATTTCATCTTCCATCCACTTTCCCCAAAATTAGATTTAAATCATGCACCAAGCTTTAGGACTGAAGACATGAAGGAAGGAGGGAGGGGAGAAGAGAGACAGAAAAAAAAAGATAACTGGCTTGATTTGCAAGAAGTTCAGAGTAAATATTTCCACCACCCACCCTTTACCACTAACAGCTCAGGCTTTGGCAACTAGCAAAACATTCTTTCTTGCAAGTTCTAGAAAAGAAAGCCGAAAACATACATTACCTGTTAGGTTCTGAAACAAGAGAACAATGCCCCCAAAAAGAATGACTTCCTTGATTATATCTTCAGATATTCATTCCTTTCCTTCCCCCTCCTCTTCCCTCCCCAAACCCTAATTTTTCATCTCTCTCCTTTCCCCGAGTGTCTTGATGTATTACAGCGCAGCTTTGAAACACTCCTCTTTCAAGCTGAGTTTATTTCGGGACCACCGCATGACCAGTGATGACAAGCCAAAATATAAGTTGTTATGAATCTCAGATTTCCTGTCTGAAGATTACCCTACAGAAGCTTTTATCCATCTTTCAGTCTCCCTCGGTTACATTAATTTGTTGAACTTTTCTTCATAAAGTGTCCTGTAGCTAAATGGCACAGCGTTGCCCTCATGTTACAACATCATTTGTGATCCTTGACATGTAGGCCATATATGGACATGTTTCTGGAACTATCCAAAAAGTGAGAGAGGAAAGAGGGAAGAGGGAGGAGGTGGAAGGAGAGAGAGACAGAGACAGAGACAGAGACAGAGACAGAGACAGAGACAGAGACAGACAGACAGATAGACAAAGAGAGACAGACAGAGACAGACAGAGAAGGAAGAGGAGAGGAGAAAATAGGAGACCGGGAAAAGAGGTGGGGAGGGAGGATGGGGCTATAAATGAGTCTGGTTTAAGTGAGTTTTTAAAAAAATTTAGTTGTCTAAAGAAGGATGGCACAATATAGGTGAGTGGAGAAAGAAAAGTGTTTCTGCTCCATTTTTCTATCAAAGTTTTCCTTGATTTTTTTAACAGTCATTGTTGTTCAGTCCTTTCAGTCATGTCTAATTTTTTGTAACCCCATTTGGGGTTCTCTTGGCAAAGATACTAGAGTGGTTTGCCATTTCCTTCTCCAGCTCATTTGACAGATGAGGAAACTGAGGCAAACAGGGTTAAGTGACTTGCCCAGGGTTATACAACTAGTAAGTGTCTGAGGCCAGATTTGAACTCACTTTTTAGCAATCATTGTCCAGTCATTTCAGTCGGGTCCGACTCTTTGGACAAATCATCTCACCTCTCTGGGCTCTGGAACAATGAATGTGAGATATTTAGAGAAGCATGAGAAAATTTGTATGAACTGATACAGAACAAAGAAAGTAGAATCAAGAGATCCATATATACAATGACTGCTGTAATATAAATGAAAACTACATCAAAAAGCAGCTGGATTCAGATTAAAGGGAATGATAAATACCAGTTCCAAGAGATAGATGATGAAATACACCCCCCTCCTCTCAGTTGAGAGGTGGGGACTATAGTTCCCAAATACTACTTACACTATCAAATAAGACATTTGTATTGGTTAAATTTTAACTCAGGTCTTCCTGACTTGAGGTCCAACATTCTATCCACTATGCCACCTAGCTGCCTCATTAGAGTACTAACCACCTGTCCAGCTGAGACACCATGCCTGGGATTCAAATAAGACCCTTGACAACTGCTAGCTAGAGTAATTGGATAATTTTACCATGAGCAAATCATTTAACTTCTCTGGGCATCAGGCAACTATCTAAGATTTATCTATTAAGTTATTTCAGTTGGTGAAAGGAATACTCACACTGAAGAAATCACAGATTATATAGTTTCAGCTCACTGTTTTAGCTAATCAAGTTCTTTCTGCATCTCCCTTCAGCCATCCAAAGCACTAGATATTCTTTCAGCTTTATACCATAAGTATATTTAATAAGCATGCCATTTCTGCCTTCATTCAAGTTATTAGTAAAAATGTTGAATAGAACAGAGCTTTGGGGAACTCTACTAGAGACTTCCCTGCAAGTTGACATTGATCTTTTAATCAACACTTTTGGATCTGGTTTTTGTCATCCATAATTTCTCATTCATCCCACAATTGGTTGCAAAAATCTTGTCATTTCTATCCTGATAACATCTTTCAAATATATCCCATCTTTTCCACTCCCCCAGCCACTACATTAGTTCAAGACCTAATCTAGCCTTTCCTGGACTTTTACAATTTCCTCCTACTTGGTCTTCCTGCCTTGAATTTCTCCCTACTCCAATTTTGCCTCCACACAGCCACCAAAGTTGTTTTCCTCCAAAGCTTAGGTCTGACCATGTCACCCACCCTCACTTCCAACTCAATAAACCCCAGAGGCTACTTATTGCTTCTAGAATCAAATATAAATTGCTCCATTTATAATTGTCCTCTGACATTTAAAGCTGTCCACAACTTCTCCCCTTTCTACTTCTTTAGTCTTCTTATACATTTCTCACCTCCACACATTCAACAATCCAATCACACTAGCCTGTTTATTGTTCCTCATATACAACCTTCAATCTCTCATCCCGGTGCCTTTGTACTATCTGCCTCCCATATGGAAAATGCTCCCCCTCCTTAACTTTCACTTCTTAGAATCCTGGATCTAATTCAAGATTCAGTTCAGGAGCCTCCTACAATGGGCATTTGGGGAAAGGAGGAAGGGGGAACCCAGGTTAGTGCCTTGAGGCTTTGAATACTCAATTGTAAATGAAAAGGCCAGCAAAGACAATGAATATGCAGAACACGGACTCCCTCATTACCTTTATTCCCAGTCACATATTTGTGACTGCAACAGGAATCTGGGGAATGCAACTAGATGGTTGCCATAAGTAAGAGTGAGATCCTTCACTGAGGGAACCCAGCTTGTACCAGGAAGAACTGTCTAATAGGAGAGCATAGACCTCTTCCCACATCCTTCTGGGAGGTGACAAACCCGAGAACCATGGCTCTGAGGGAGTCCAATGAGGACAGAATTCTGCCAGTCTTAGTTAGGCTAAGAGTCTCTGCCTTTTTAGAAAGAGCAAAATAACGCATTACCTAAAAAGAGCATTATAACACTTCATTGGAAAAAAAAAATCACAGTAACACCCATGCAAGATAGAGATTGCAGATGTTGAAAACTACAGTTGTTCATTGAAGAGTGAGCCCAGAGAATCAGCTGCACCCTGTGAAGAGCCACTCTCATGGCTGAGTAAGCTGCTGGACCAAGCGTGCTCATACTCAATGAGGAATCACCCTGGTGGACTAATGATCTGCCTGGAACAACCCTACAGCAGCTATGTCGGGTGGAGAGGATCTCAGCAGATTAATAACTTGCCCAGTCCACCAGCAAATGGATCAGTCCAGTCTTAGCTGGACTCCATGCCCAGTAAGGAATAAGTGGAGCTGAACATCTGATCTATCATCTATGCCACACCTGATAGGCAACTTCATAAGGACTCTGTAGAGAAAGAAAGGACATCAAGACCTTGCAATTCCAGAATCCTAAGTCACATTGTCTCTATGTACTCCCTAAATATCGGCCTCACTGTGACTATGTGACCATATCTTGGGTTTGTGCCCAACTTCTCCCTGACACACACACACACACACACACACACACACACACACACGCGCGCGCGCACACACACACACACACACACACACACACAGATTCTCAGCCTACTTAAGGGAGAATAAATGGTTGGCAGTGAGAGGGGGAGGAAAAGGAATATTTCATAACTACTATTCTATATTATTTTAGTAAATGACTTTGCTAAGTCTAAGATCGGCTAGTAAACAGTCCAGAGCTACAGATAACAATCAATCAATAAACATTTACTAAGCACCTAGTATAGGCCAGCACTATACTAAGCTCTGGGGATACAAAAAAGAGCTAAAAGACAATTCCTGCCCTCAAGGAGTCTACCATCTAATGAGGGAGACAACATGCAAACAAACATATAAAAAGCAAGCTTTTTTTCCTATTTGATTCAACAATACCTATTGTGTGCAAAGCACTCAGAAGGGAACTGTTGTTATTCAATCATATCTGGCTCTTCTTGACCCCATTTAGGGTTTTCTTGGCAAAGATACTGGAATGACTTGCCATTTCTTTCTGCAGCTCATTTTACAGATGAGGGAACTGAGATGAATAGGGTTAAGTGACTTGCCCAGGACCACACAGTTAGTAAGTAACTGAGGCCGGATTTGAACTCTGGAAAGGTAGATTTGAGAATCATCAGCATTGAGATGGTAATTAAATCCATGGAAGCTGATGAGATCCCCAAGTGAAGTAGTATAGAGGATGAAGAGAAGAGGGCGCAGGTCAGAACCCTGGGGGACACCTGTGATGCGATCTGGAGGAGGTTCCAGCAAAGGAGACAGAGAAGGAACAGTCAGATAGGTAGGAGAATCAGGAGAGAGTAGTGTCCTGAAAACTTGGAAAGAAAAGTGTTAAGGAGGAGGGGGTGATCAACAGAGAATTTCTCTAGTCTTCCCAATTTTCATCTTAAATACTTCCAGTCTTTCCTGGACTAACTTCTTTGAAGACCTATAAAATTTAACCCATGGGATCCTACTTATCCATTTCCAGAATTCTTTGAAATCCATTACCCCCAAAGCCGGGGTACATGTCAGACCAGCTATGATCACAACTTTCCTCTCCATCAAAAAGCACAAGATAAGGGGCTCCCTTTTTCCCAAGGTTCCTGGCTCTGATCATAATTTGGTTCATGCCTGTGTTCTCTTTTACTCCTCTGACATTTATTTCACTACCTAATGTACTGCTGTATTAGACTCATACTTCTGCCCCCCACCTTTCCAATTCTGGAGTCATAATAGAATCAGCTTTGTTATTGCTCCTGGGAAGAGAATGAATGAATGAATGAAAAAGCATTCTTTAAGCACTTGCTATGTGCTAGGGTAGTTTGCTGGGGCAGCTAGGGGGCACCATAGTGCACAGAGTGCCAGGCCTGGAGTCAGGAAGACCTGAGCTCAAATCTAGACTCCATCACTTACTAGCTGTGGGACCCTGGGCAAGTCACTTCTTCCTATTTACCTCAGTTTCCTCATCTGTAAAATGAGCTGCAGAAGGCAATGGCAAACCTACCAAGAAAACCCAAATAGAGTCACAAAGAGTCAGACGTGACTGAAAACGACTAAGTAACAACAACAACAACAACAGGTATTTTGCTAAGTGTGAGGTATACAAATACAAACAATGAAAAAGGACCTTTCCATAAAGGAATTTATACCCTGATGGAGGAAGACAGTATATAAAGGGG